ACAGCTGACTGACACGAATTTTAACTAGCATGCTAGCATGCAAAAAAAAAATCGATAACTGCATGAGTCACAAGTGGGAAAAATGTAAATCTGCATGACACTTTACTCTAATTGGCTCATTCGCTTGCTTAAACTCAACGTTGATTCTGATTCCGCAGAACTGGGTTGGGTGTGAAAAAGTATTTGTTGTTAATATTCTTTTTTCATTCGGTTTTTCCAGTTACAAGTCCTTTTTTAAAGCTGATCATTTTGTGTTCATTTTGTTTAGTTCTTTTTTCGTAACAGATTTAATGTTTAGTATAGAGCTTAGAAAAAATTCTCAGTGTGAGACAGGCAAGAAGTAAGGCATGTAGCAACATCAGCACGGCAAAGGGCACTCCTGTAAAGTCAAGGAAGGACAAAAATATTTGAAGTCAAGTGATAGCAATTGCTGTATGAGTCGTACGATTTTTGAATCAAGCACGGGCAACGCTGGGCCATGCTGCTAGTCTTACATAGCGCTTGTATACCACTGATAGTTTAGATATTTCTGAACGTGTTTCGTGCCACGCCTAACGTTCCTATGAGAGTCTCTACGGGGTTGTTTAAGAACATGACTCGAGGTTTCAGGTTGATGATTTGGGTTTTTAGCAGTGGCTGCTGAATTGATAACAAAAATTGAAAAAAAAATGAATAAATAACATTTAACAGGACACTTAGAAACAAGATGTCTGCTTAGGTCATCCATTTGGCTTTCTTTAAATCACAAAGCCGAGGTTTTTATCTACGAAAAATGGGGAAAAATGTCTTTATTGGGGGTTACTGCAATTTCTAAACATTGATGGCGCCAATTTTAACTGAAACCATCTGCACTGGATTTTTCTCTCTTTCAAATGCGATATTTTCTGAACAACCTAATTCATAATCCCTGTTCCGGTAAAACATTTAAAAAGCCGTAATGGCGAAAAACGAAGATGATATTAACATTACGTTATATATATATATATATATATAAGTAGATAAATATAAATAGTTATATATAAGTAGATAAATATAAATAGTTATATATAAGTAGATAAATATAAATAGTTATATATAAATTTAAATGTGGTTGCGGATGTGACTACATAGGCAGAACGTCTCAGCGTTTGGATTTGAGAATTAAACAACATTTTCCCCCCAGAATTTTAAATCCGGCCGCTAACAAAAGCCAACTAGTGAATACATCCGGGTCATCTATAGCGGAACACGCTATAACTATCTGGGAATGTGTTGCTGGTTTGAGTGTTGACTGTTTTTCCATTCTGGCGAAGTCACACTCTGCATATCATTTGAAGGTTCTTGAGTCCATTTATATCAAGTCCCGCAGGCCGTTTCTCTGTAAGCAGAGAGATTGCTTGTTGGGTTTGAATGTTATTGGGCTCTAGTTCTTTCTATCATATATAAATTTTTTTTTTTCCTTTCCCCCTCATTGAATGGTTTTTTGTTTTTAAGTTTATGATTAAATAATCCCAGTGTATCAAACTTGAGGAGTACTGGGACGAAACCGGTTGTTTGTTTTAGTTCTTAGTTTTCATAATTATGTCCTTTACATTCCGCTTATTCCTTGCCATAATACAATTTTGTACCTGTAAGAATCTTTTCAAATATATATATATATATATATATATATATATATATATATATATATTAATTATACCTCCAGTAGTTTGTAACACATTATTTATCATTTCTCAGTTGCGTCTCTGTCCTTAGGTGGAGTGCACTCAGAGGCGACTCCTTCAATGTACAGAGTCAAAGCTGAGGAAAGTTATACTGAGCGGTGCCCAGCCCCGGGGAACAGCTGCCCAAGACCGCGCCCTCTCATTGCACCAGAGAGACAGGGATCAGTGCTCGCACCGTGGCCAGGGCAACCGCCGTTTGCGGTGGCTACGGCAATTTTAGTTAATACCCCGGGCGTTCGCGCTCGGGCAGCCCACATTAAACAACCTGTATTACAACCTGACCTCGCGGTGGGTTGAGTAAATACTTACATTATATATAAAAAAGCTACTGAACGTTTAAAGTCTCACCAAAATTAACTTGAGATTCTCGATATGATTGACACTGATGCAACCACTGCAGGGAAATATGACTTTACTTTTGCAAGATTTTTGATATAACCAACAAAAATGAAGATACTCAACCGAATAACTCGTAGAATGGATTCCAGACATTCATAGTGCCAGGGAAAAATGTTATGTTCCATTATTAATGGCCTTTGTCGGATTAAAAAGTGGTATTCTGAAAGAGAGTGATAACTATTTCGTAGTGTAGCAAATGACCCCAAGCTTTTTTTTCTCTCGTCTTACTGACTGGCAGTAAACAAACAATCATTTCCCATTAATTACTTATTAAGACTAATAAATATCGTGTTGCATCATAAAATCCCCACTCTCCTCGTACAATAAAATCTCCACTTTACTCCAACAATAAAATACCCCAATAAAATACCCCAAAAAACTTCTACTGAGTCTTCTATGTATAGTTTTGGCATGTTTTATCTAATGCTTACCCAAACACTATACCATCCTGGGTATGACGATAAACTACATCCGTGTTTTGGGTAAGACGATAAACTATGTCCAACAGCAAGGCCACTGATCAAGAGGTTTTGAGGAGCGTGGAACTACCTCTTAATTGCTGGTGTTCCCATGTTCACCTCTGACCCGCGGTGGTAGCACCAGTTAGGGTTCTAGCTCTGGGCAAATAGTTGACACCCAAACTAGTGTAAAAATAGGCTTTAATACCAGAAATACATTGTAATAAAAAAATATAACCAGCAATAATTTTTGAAGGAAAAATTACTATCAGCAATACTTAAAAAAAGTACTAGCAATACAAACAGCTATACATTCTTTGAAAAAAATATGACCAGCTGTAGATTTCTTCAAGGGAAAATATTCCCAGAAATAGATTGTTGAAGAAAAACTTTACCAGCAATAAAAATTTTGTTGACATTAAATAACCCATTGAGGTTGATATACCGTAAACCAAACCAAACCAAACACTATAGACAATCAAATTCTTGAACTTAGGTAGGTACAAGTATCTAATAATATTAATAATAACGACAAATCGTTAACGCCTAGCATAACACGTCGACCAGTAGATTCAGGATTTTTTATCCGGTGATTCGTTTGTCGTAGGGGCACCATGTGTATTGTAGCCGCAGTAAACATGGTATTTCTTACGCAAGATGGCCTGACGGAACCCAAACCTATCCAGAACGGTTTTGAATTCAGAGTTTTTCCTTCTCCTGAACTGGTTGCCACCCAAGGTTATAGAACCCACTCTGTCCTGCTATTTACCCATAGCTGGAGGGAGAAGAAGAGGATTCATACCTTTCTCAAGTGAATGTAATGGATTTTACGTGCTAATACCCTTGGGGAAAGGTAGAGTGTGTAAAGACTGTCCAAATGATCTGTAGATATGAGCACTTTCGCCTAATCTATTGAACATTATCGAGGATGTTTTATGTTTAATTGAATAAATAGGATGGGAACTTTACAAATTTCGGCCACGGTCAGCATGTCGTGGCCGTGTTCATAATTGATACTAATGAGTGTTGGGATGTTCTTTTTTTCAAAAATAGTGGAAGCGTAAATAATAAAAAAAGAACGTGCCAACTCTTATTAACCCAGGTCTTTTGCATGTGGACGAGTCTATTTGGCACAATTATGTTGCGGACAGAGGTTGGTAGGTCTCCGTACGTATTTAAATGGGTCCTAATGGAACAATAATGCGAGCGATGCGATGTAAGACTTCTCGATAAGCATGTAGTGGTATTCCCGATGTAACTATTATTTATGAATTAAAAACATTCCCCTCTCTGTATCTTACTTATTATAAAACGTGTGTGTGTGTCTGTATATTGGATCGGATTTCCTACATTTTTCAACCGATTTCAACAAAACTTCACAGGACTACATAAAATTACCTTGTGGTGGTTCTAACAGCGCCAAAAATGGGAAAAATATAATTGTTTTTGCACAGAATCACTTTGAAAACACGATTCAGAGTCATCGTGAAAATGGAAGGGGGCAACTCACATCGGGTTGTTTGTGTGTGGGGTTTCTTTAAATATGGGAGCGGATTTCCTATATTTTTCAGCCGATAAAACAAAATCTCACCTTTTTTTTTTTTTGGCAGGTAGTGTTTTCTTATTCTCTTACACTTTTTTTTTTATTTTTTACATTCACAATGCTTTTAAAATTCCATTTACAAGACAATTGTTTATAATAAAATTCTATTCAATCGGTAGACTCATAACGATTGAAAACAATGTTTTGTTTGAGTTTGGGTTTGACCAATTCGTAAAAAAAAAAAAAAAAACTAATTAAGACATGCGTGTCCGTCAACCTTAAACAATAATCTTTTGTCAATTTTATTTTTCAGTCTTTATGATGGTCGATATTTGATCTATCTCATACTGTTATATCCCCGGGCAACGCCGGGCTCTACTGCTAGTATAAATATAAATATATATATATATATATATATATATATATATATATATATATATATATGTATTTATATATGTAATTTATATATATATATATATATATATATATATATATATATATAAATTATATTCAGCTAAACAAAAAAAATGGCTTTTTATATATATATATATATATATATATATATATATATATATATATATATATAAAAACATTTTTTTTTAAGTTTGCTATAGGATTTGTCCCCTCCCCAAAATATCTTACATATAAGGAATAATGTAACTTATACTGCCACTTTATTTTATAAAGTTTACCTGGTTATAGCAATTTTCCAAGGATAGCTTAGATGTGGCACAAGGCCGAAAGTATGGGTCATCCAGTGAGGGTCGAACTCACTACTTAATCTTAATTGTTCTAGCGAAAGCTTGTTAACCATTACTCTGTCTTGAGGTGCCTAAGTTTATCAGGGTTATATAATGTAGATCACTTCCTGTAATCGATAAAAGTGCATCGAGAAAGATGATCGGAGTTGTGAGATTCAATGTCTTATCTAATGTCTCGAGTAGACGACACTTAATTCGACACTTTCGATCGAGGCTCCTTGAAATTGACGCTAATGTGTGATATAAATTTGACTTGCGTGAAGGACGTCGTCTCCCGATGTAATAATAATGTAATTACCGACTGAAGGTGGCGATTGATTGCATTATTACAAAAGCAATGGAAAGCTAACGAGAAGAGGGTTTACGAATGAAGGCGGAGATCTTTATTATATTTCGCAACAGAAAAGAAAGAACTTTTATTTTCCTATCGATTAAGGGAAGTCGTCATTGAAAGGACAACTTGCGTGTCGCACGTTTTTATGGAAGAGAAAGGAACTGTAAAGGAAATGCGCATTGTTATTTATAATTCTTAATATTCTGCGCAGAAGGGAGATAATCATAATAACTTAAATTCAGATTATAAATCCTCCGCTTTAGGGCGTGTTAAAAAAAGATCTGCCGCCTTTTGTATATTTTTTCGCGTATGTTATTGTGTTACAGCATGGAAGTACTTGATTGACGTTTGTCTGGTGCTCAATGATATTATACACCGGATAAAAGGAACGTCAAAATAGACTTTTACAAATTCGTCGGAATTATTAATAGGGAATAAATGGGCAAATTGTCATTCATAAACAATTTGAGGAAAGATATCTGACTTAAAAAAAAGCAATCCATTTTTTTAGATAAATCGTAATAGTTTATCTATCTATCTATCTATCTATCTATCTATCTATCTATCTATCTATCTAAGCCTGTATGTATGTAAATATCTGTCTGACTATTTGTTATTTATCTATCGTTGTATTTCTTTCTCAGTCTGTTCATATCTATCTATCTATCTATCTATCTATCTATCTATCTGTTCGTATGTATGTATCTATCTATCTATCTATCTATCTATCTGATCTCTTATCTATTCGTATTATCTATCTCAGTTTGTTCATCTATCTATCTATCTATCTATCTATCTATCCATCTATCCCATTCTGTTCGTATTCATCTATCTATCTATCTATCTATCTCCCATCTATCTTCTATCTATCTATTCATTCTATCCCATTCTGTTCGTATCTATCTATCTATCTATCTATCTATCCGTCCCATTCTGTTCGTATTCATCATGGTTCACCTTCGTTGTTTTCAAAAATAAATGTTGTTGTTCTCAATTTTAATTTCATTTTCTATTTTTTCGCCTATCGTCAGTTTATAGCTTTTATCCCTAGTTTCCTCTTTAGGATTAGGTTTCTGGACTTCAACTCTAACGGAACTCTAAATGTTATTCACTAACTGAATCTTGCCCCTTCAAGTTAACTGTTATCTTTCCTGCATAGACCCCAAGAACTTTTTAGCCATAATACAACTGCAAAATAACACACTACCTTTTTTGGGCCTAACATTAGTATAAAATAAAATTATTGTTCCAAACACTTTCCATTCAATCCACTCGTTTCGTCTCTTTCCAAAGGATTTTGTTCAATTTTCGTATTTTGCGAAAAAAAAAAGTATTTGAAATCTTTTCCAGGTTTGAGCTCGTGATGGCGAGGTACAGTATGCGAGTTGAACGAATCCCAAATTTAAATGAAGTGTTCGTATCCATGAACCACAGAGGTTGACCAATGGGAGTAAGGTACCAAGGTCGTTGTTTTGTTGGTGGTGTGTCCTTCTAAACAGATCATCGGGCACCCTGTAAACGTCGTCTACCGTTGACAAGTGCGGGTAAAGCACAGTCATGACTGTAAAGGAAAAAATTGGGAAAGGCTATGGAAACCTCGAGGGTTGCTTCTGTTACTGATTCTAAAAGACAATTATTTAGTAATCACTTACAGTTTAGCGGCAGTTAAAATTATATTTTGTTTCATTATATTTTTAAATACTTTTTTTTTCAAGCACTGGAGTTGCCAAAGGGTACAGAGGACTGAGAAAAAAAAAAGAGTAAAGAGGCGAGTTTGAGGAAAGGATACAGAGAAGGAGTTGGAACAAGATCAAGGTATCAGAAGATGTCGATTGACATTACACTTGAATATTTGAAGATTATAGTTATCAGGGAAGCTAAAGAGAAAGGAAGTTCCGCAGCCTGGAAGTACCATATAAATTTAACCGTTTCACAGTGGTGGGACCGCAATGTCAACCTAGTAGTACGCTTAAATTCATGAAGTCTGGGAACCAGCAAAGTAGCTTTTAGAGATACCTTATATCGCATTGCTATTCATCTCTGGATTTTGTCGAGGACCTCCGGACGTACAGCGGGGGTTCTAAGTCATCCGTTTACCATATTTTTTATATATATATCTTATGGTTGCCAAATTTCCTAAGTATTTTTTGTTAATTTTTAAAAAATAGTATCGTTTAACCATTGGAATCATATTTTTTAAATAAATAATTATATATATATTACTGATAAATGATTCTGGAATAATTTAACGATATATAATTAAACAGATGTAAGGACGTTTTACATATGATCTTTGTAAACCTTCTTTACAATTATTTTGTGAGTTCCACCAGTCTTCATTTACCATATCCTTTTTATTACATTTATGAGAATGAAATTCATTTCGAACAGATTCCCACGAATGTTGACCTTATAGAGTCGGTTTTGGAAGAGACGTACGAACGACTGTTTTTACTATATCGTTTTACCCCGCTCTTGTATCAAGGGGGGGAAGGTAAGGCAATGCTTTTTTTTTTTTTTTACAGAACTTAAACAGCGTTTCTTTTAAAATTTCTCCTTTTTTGCATTCAGTCCGCTACTTTTTACCCCCATATCCTTTTACACCCTTTTTTACTTTTACTAAGGTATATTTACCAGTAAGAGATAAAAGCTTAAAAAGAGTGGTAGGATACCCTTTTACCCTTTACCATATTTTTTTTACATCTTTTTTTTTTACCATATCCTTTTTTCTCTTACTGCTCTTTTACCATTTACCGCTTATTTATGCCCCTTTTACTCTTTTACCTCTTACCGCTCTTTTATCTTTTTTTATACTTCAACCTTAGCGCTCCTTCACCTTATTTACTGTTGCCTACCGCTCCTTTTTACCATATCCTTTTACCTTGTTGCCACTCCTTTTAATATATCGTTTAACCTCTTACTCCTACCATATGCTTTTTATCTTTTTTGCACTTTTAATATCCTTTTACCTCCTACTTTTACTTTTTACCGCTTGTATCCTTTTACCATATCCTTTTTATCTTTTTACTGTTGTCCCTTACCGCTTTTTTTTTGCCATTTTTACTATATCCTTTTATTCTTTTTTTACCATATCTTTTAGCCGTTACCACCGCTTCTTTTTTTTTTATCGTATCCTTTTCCTTTTACCTCTTACTGTTGTCGCTTCTTTTACTATATCCTTTTACCTTTTTTCCATATCCTTTTATACCTTCTTTTACCTTTTATACCGTTTTACACACAACAAATTCCTTCAGTAACTTCACACTCAGAAGGCTCTTGTGCCTTGTATATGAGGAAAAAGTAGTAAAAACAAAAAGAAAAATAGAAAAATCTGTGTTGGAAAGACTTCATTTAGCGACCTTCTTTGAAAGTCAATATTGTAACTGCTGTCTGAATTTCTTGTATGAGTAGTCATTAATTGCACGCGGCCTATTGTCTTCATCTTTGTTGCTGCTTTCACAACGTTTCGATCGCTTTCCGGCCTTCATCAGGTGTATTTCGATCACGGTAACCTACAGTAAATTTCAAACTGAATCCTTTATTTAATCTACGCGTTTAGATTGTTCTCGTTCCACTGTCTATGTATAAGGATATCTTATCTAGGTTTTTATTTAGTACAGTTCAGTTATTGAAAGTTTCCAACGAGTCTAAGTAATTAAACCCGGAATTAAACCCACAACCACTATGACACCAAAATCTACACCCGTAGATTAAATACAGTGTTTAGTATTACAAAATTCTATCATTTCCTCTGCGCAAATATTTCAGCCATTGCAGTCCGTTTCTGGAGCGAGATGCCCCCAAAGTCAATGGCATTTTTCCGCTTATTTTTTGTAAACTAATTTCCTAACATTTTTCTTGCTTCTTTTTTTCTTTCTTCTCAAGTTCATTTGCTTTAAATTCTCATCTGCATTTCGGTATTATGAATTAAGGTAGTCTTCCCTTTGATAAAATCCCTCGGTGTTGCATAACAGATGCAATTTACGTCAAAATAGAGTTTTCTTGCGAAAAAGCGTCAAGAATTACCTGGGCTTAATCGTTTTTACTGCAGGCATCGGAGTACCACCACTCCAACACCATGAAAATCAATAGAAAAATATAGCATCTGGTGAAAGTTTATTGACTATAATACTTGGAAAGATATATTCGTAAGCCTCGAGACTTGTTTGAACCTTTCCGTTCTTTATCTGTCTATATTTCTGAGATGAGGTATTGTAACTATTTACACACTTTTTTTTTTGTTCAGGCTGTTATCCTCATCTTTGTTGTCATACTCATGGTGTCGCGGCCGTTGTGCACTGCGGCCTTCTTCAGATGATATACGTTGGAATTTCGAAACTAACCTTTCATTTCGTCCACCGGGGGGTAGATTGTTCTAGTTCCACGTGCCATGCCTCTTCCGGATATCTCAGTTTCAGTTGCAACTATTTTCCCCTTAGTAACTTATTTTTTTTTTTTTTTTATACCATGTATTGAACCCACAACTCGTGGGTTCAAGTCACTGAGTTCAATACCTGGCCACAGCTGAGGTGAAAAAAAAAAACTTGGAGTGTTGAGTTACTTAAGGGAAATAACTGAAACTGAATTAATAACATCTTCATAATGAGGATCTCCTTGGAGTCGGTGAATATTTCTATTCTCATTCCATTATCTGTTAGTTTCATTCCAAGGAATCATTCTTCCTCATAATACCAATCTGCCTCTCCACTGTGCTAATGTATATTTTATTTCTAATTCTTTTACCTGTCATGTCCAGTGTCCTGCCTAGGGGATTTCGGAAGTCTAAGCCATCATTTCTGCCATAAAACGAAGAATTCCTTTTCCACTGAGACCTGTTTAAAAAATTGTCATTTAAATTGCTGTAACATGTCTTAAAATTATTTCATTAAAACTTAAATATGACTAAAAATTCAACAAAGTGACACCCAATTCATTTGCCTGAAACATAAATAATTCTTTTCTATTAAAATTGATATTAACCGGGCAATCGGTACATTCTAATCTCCACCGACTCGAGGTTGATACAGTATGATAGGGTCAGTTCACGCACATGCTGATACACACATGTTGAATATATTTCTAAGATTAATTTAAAATAATTTCTAAACCATCAGATTCGTAAAACTAATATGAATTATAATTAATTAAAATATTATTATAGGAACATAATAAACTCTATATGGTTACACGTTGGATGATATGTATTCACATATGATGTCACGATGCATTTGAGTAAACTGGAAGATGGACATCAGGAAAATTAGAGAAAGACTCGAAGAAGGTTGAAGTTAGACACCACGAAGAATAAGAAAAGACACGAAGAAGGTGGAAGGTGGACAACGAGAACAAGAAGAAAAGACACGAAGAAGAAGGAAGGTGGACACCAGGAACAATTTGAAAAGAAACGAAGACGGAAGGTGGACATCAGGAACAACATGAAAAACACGATGAAGAAGGAAGGTGAACACCAGAAACAATGAGAAAAGTCACGAAGAAGAAGGAAGGTGGACACCAGGAACAATAAGAAAAGACACAAAGAAGAAGGTAGACACCAGGAACATTAAGAAAAGACACGAAGAAGGAAGGTCGATACCAGGAACAATCTGAAAAGAGACGAAGAAGAAAGAACGTGGACACCATGAACAATAAGAAAAGACACGAAGAAGAATTAAGGTGGACACCAGGAACAATCAGAAAAGACAGGAAGGACAATGAAGGTGGACACCAGCAACATTAAAAAAAAACATGAAGAAGAAGGAAGGTGATCACCAGCAACAATAAAAAAAAACTAACGAAGAAGAAAGAAGGTGGATACCATGAACAATAAGAAAAGACACGAAGAAGAAGTAACGTGGACACCAGGATCAATAAAAAAGACACGAAGAAGAAGTAAGGTGGAGACCAGGAACAATAAAAAAGACACGAAGAAGAAGTAAGGTGGAGACCAGGAACAATAAAAAAGACACGAAGAAGTAATAAGTTGGACACCAGGGATAATCAGAAAAGATAGGAAGGAGAAAGAAGGTGGACACCAGCAACAATAAAAAAAGACACGAAGAAGATGGAAGGTGGACACCATGAACAATAAGAAAAGACACGAAGAAGAAGTAAGGTGAACACCAGAAACAATCAGAAAAGACAGGAAGGAGAAAGAAGGTGGACACCAGCAACAATAAAAAAAGACACGAAGAAGAAGGAAGGTGGACACCAGGAACAATCTGTAAAGACACGAAGACGGTGGAAGATGGTCCCTAAAATAAAATAAAGTTAAAAAGATGAATTAAATGAAGACAGGAAGATGGTCGAAGATGGACAAAAGAACAACAAGAAAAGACACGGAAAAGATGAAGGATGGTATCCAGGAACAATAAGAAAAGACATATGAAGAACGTAGAAAAAGGGAGATGGAATGAGTAATAATGGACTCGAGACATCTTTTTCCTAATTTGCCCCTCCCTCCCCTGCTTCAATATCTTGGAAGAATTTTAAAATGAACAAACCAAAATAACTAATATTCGTTATCAAATTCATATTTGATAGTCATTGCTAGACAATGAAGAGTGAAGTTCAGAAATATTGGATGAATAAATTTGAGAAAAGAATGCCAATGCTTCTTGTTTTCCGAAGTGCATTCAACGTGGTGTGTCCGCAAATGAGATGCACATTTTACCCAGTAATTACCAGGTTTTGATATTGGAATAAGGCTCGATGAGCAACAGAATCTGTTTGTGGTAAAATGGATTGCGGCTCGGAATGATGAATAGGAGAGCCGAGTTCGAATTCTAGTCGGGTTCGCTACATGCGCAAATAGACTTGGGAAAGTAATGAGCCCTTCTCCCCCACCCCAGCAATGGGGTGAACAACAGGATAGGCTGCTTCCTATAGCTTAGGGTGCCAACCAGTCTACGAGAGAAAGCCTGCAGCGGGTCAATCTTTTACCACGTTGGTCATGAATCGAAAGAAACATGATCGTCAACGTGTGTATCACGCATGGTACGTGACTCGAACTACGAAAAAAGAATTTACTTTTCCATGGATATCAACAGTAGGAAAAAAGAGTTTACATCTTTTTTTCAATGAACACTAAAAAGCGAAGAAAGAATTTACTTCTTTTCATGAACACTAACGGAAGAAAGTGTTTACTTTTTTCTCTGAACACCAATAGGAGAAGAAAGTGTTTACTTTTTCTCTGGACAACAACAGGCGAATAAAGAGTTTACTTTTTCTCTGAACACCAGCGGGAGAAAAAAGTGTTTACTTCTTTTTAAGAACACCAACAGTCGAAGAAAGTGTTTACTTTTTTAATGAACACCAACAGGAGAGAAAAAAAGAGTTTATATTTTTCTATGAACACCAACATCCGAAGAAAGAGTTTACTTTTTATGAATACCAAAAACTAAGAAAGAGTTTAGTTTTTTCTATGAACACCAACAGGCGGAAAAAGAGTTTACTGTTTTTCTATGAACACCAACAAGCGAAGAAAGAGTTTACTTTTTTCTATGAACACTAAATGAAAAAATGTTTTTACATTTTTTGGATTTATTAGTACTCTTTGTTTTCTCTTTCCTCTTATTTAGTGAACAATTTTCTTTTTCTGAACATTTTTCGTTTATTGGAAATTGATTTTTCCTCTGACACATTTTTTTTAACACGTTACTTAGAACAGTTGTTTTTACTTTGTTTTATTCATTGAATTGCCTGTGAGTACTGCTTTGAGCGAAGCAAAGACCATTTGGCAGCCTTTAACTTTCCTGCCCGAAAATAAACGAAGTCTCAAAAGAACAGTTTTCCCATTGATAACGCTGTTATTTTAATTATCAGCAATGTCAATTGTTTTAAAAAACGATGGTCAGAATTGTAATAAAAACTAAACATATGATGAAAGTGATTTTATAAATTTGTTTTTGTTCTTAAGAATTTACATCGACATCATTTATTTCGAAGAACATTTTATATTTACAACATTCTAAAAACTAATACAATTGTATTAAAATTAATACAATATTTATTCTTTTCCAATTTATAAAGAAACAAATATGAAAACAATTTATTTTTATAAATTTATAAACATTTAATAAATTATTAAAATATATTAACCATCTATAAGAAAATCCTTATTTTTTACCATTTTATGCAGTTCGAATCAATTGGCAATTAGTCGATATTTTTCCAACCATTCCACAAAAGAATATCTAAATAAATAAATGGCAAATTTTGTTAGTGATTATTATTTTTATTTTAAATTTTGAAGAACAAAGAATATGTCGGAGTTAACTCCTCCTTTCACTCCGTTAACCCTTTCACCAGGGGTCTCTCTTTCCTGGCTATAAATAGCCAATGACCCTTCGCCTCTCTCTCTTTTCTCCTTCAGACCTGTGCACCAACACCTCGAGGTAAATTTCTCTTATTCCTAGAGGATTTCAACTATCAACCTCGAAATGTAGTCACTAACAAGAGATAGCGTGGAAACACGCTAAGCACAATATTCACGCACGCACATACAGAATATTCACACACGCACGCACATACAGAATATTCACACACACTTCGTCCTTTGTACTGTTTCCATGTATTGTAACTTGTTATTAATATATATTTGTATATACATATTATCGGTCTTGTGTTTTGTTTGCTTTTTTGCCTTCTTCTTTGGACTTAATCAAAGTCCAACCTTTTTATGTAGTTGGGCCCGGCGGGCAGGAGTATCTGAACCTTACATGCGTTTCTTCTACGTCTGACTTCTATCAACAACATAACAGCCACGCCATGAACCCTCAACAAGTGGCAACCGCCATTCCCACTACAAGTGGTAACCGCCACGGGCCCTCTACAAATATATAAAAATTTGCTTTCATATTTTTAGGTTTTATTAAAATTTTAATCATCGCTTTTTAAAACAATAAACATTTCCTAGGAGTGAATGAACAAAAAAACAAAAAAAAACAAGAAAAAACTGTCGATTTGTTACGTCGCTTTTTTTGCAGGCACGATGGTTACAGATTGCCAACTGTTTCATACGAAATCTCTTCAGGCACTACTCTCTCTTAATCGTCTTAGAGGACCTTTTGTTTTGTTTGTTTTAACCTTCCATAAGCATGGCAGATGCTAACTTCCTTGCGAGTGACACATTGCACCTACTCGGGCTAACGTTTTCCGCTGACGTTCTTAGCTGAAATAAAAAGATTATATAGAATTAATTGTTAGGTCTGCTGTTAGGAAAGTTGGTTTACTGTGATTTGGCAAAGGAAAGAAAGAAAGAATGTATAGTGAAAAAGAAAAAAAAAGTGAAGAAATAGAACTCTCCAAGACAAAAAGAAAGAAAAAGTAGAAAAAGAAGAACAAAATAAGACCAAGAACAAAAAAGGAAAACAAGGACAAGAAAGACTTAAAAAAGAAGAACCTATGCAAATTGTCCAAGTTGCCCTTACGAATATTGGCAGCTGCTTCTTTTATTTTCCCTTTACGTAAAAGACAAAACAATTGTCACTCTGCGAAGTGCTGTAGCTGAGAAATTCCGCGTTGCTCAGCTATAACAACAGAATATTTTTCTTCACTTAACGATATGTAGAAAAGATATAATTTTTTCTTGGTTCTTGAGAATTATATATAATGTTATCGATACTGACCTGGCATCTCGACTTTAGTCAATTTCCCCACTTCTATGTTGTTGCTTCCCTCTGACTTTTCTATAAATATTTTCATGGCAATTGTCTTGATATGCTTACTTCCTTGGTACCAGGACTTCATGAATTTAAACGTGCTACTCGATTGTCAACTAGGTCTCACCGTTTTACTGTTGAACGCGCTAGATGCAACCGTGCGTTCTATTATAACATCTATTATAACAAAGAATGTATAGTGAAAAAGAAAAAAAAAAAGAGAAATAGAACTCTCCAAAAATGACACAAGAAAAAAAGAAAGAAAAAGTAGAAAAAGAAGAACAAAATAAAAACAAGAACAAAAAAAGGAAAACAAGGACAAGAAAGACATAAAATTAACAAAGAAGAACCTATGCAAATTGTCCAAGTTGCCCTTACGAATATTGGCAGCTGATTCTTTTATTTCACTTATTCATTTATGTAAAATACCAAAAAATTGTCACTCTGCGAAGTGCTGTAGCTGAGAAATTCCGCGTTGCTCAGCTATAACAACAGAATATTTTTCTTCACTTAACGATATGTAGAAAAGATATAATTTTTTCTTGGTTCTTGAGAATTATCAATTGAAATGATAAAATGATTTTCCGCTTTTACTCCTTCTAAAAGCGGAGACAAAAGAAGGGTCGAAAAAAAAAGATCTATACATTTTATTTCCGGTTTGATTCCGCTGCTCCCTCTATTCGTCAGAATTCGGATTATAAGTTTTCTTATGTGGCTCATTAGATTTATTTTCTTATGGAGTTCGGATTCGTTTGTACGTAGCTTCTTAGACATCCCTATGAAAATAGATATATTTAGGTTTTCCTTAATAAAAAACATAAAATAAAATAAATGATCGTATCTTCACTTAACAATATAAAAGATATAAAATTTATTTTCGCTTTTTATTTTAAAAAATTGAAATCACTAATTTAGATGATGGAAGCATATTCTAATATCCTCTTGGATCATTTGCAATGTTACCTTGTAACGTTGGGGGTATATTGTGTAGAGTCTACAAAAATCTTTTTTGCAACCTCGAAAGTGAAACTTCAGGAGAACAAATCTTCGTGACTTCCTGGGCTCACGTTTTTGCACTGACATAAAGTATAGTGATTATATTGAATCAACTGTTAGGTTGGTTCACTGAGACGGGAAAGACAATTTTTCTCGTCAGATTTTCATATTTATAAATCTACCATTCGTCCGTGCATTGAATATTGCTGACATATCTGGTCTGGTGCTTCTTGACAAAATTCAAAGAAGAGTCTGTAATGTTATCGGTCCTCACCTGGCATCTCGACATCAGTCACATTCCCAACGCCGTGAGGTGGCCTCCCTCTCTCTTTTCTAATAATATTTTTCATGTAGTTGTTCTGATGAGTTCTCCACCTTCGTACTTCGACTGCGTGAAATTAAGCGTACTACTTAATTGTCTACTCGGTTTCATCTTTTTAATTTTGAAATAGATGTAAGCATAAGTTCTATACTAATATTATCTTTTCTCGTACATCTGGAATGCTCTTCCAGTTTCTTATTAACCTGTCACCTTCGTGACTTCTTAAGGCTCACGTTTTCCACTGACATAAAGTATAGTGATTATACTAAATCAACTGTTAGGTTCATTCACTGAAACGGGAAAGACAATTTTTCTCGTCAGATTTTCATATTTATAAATCTACCATTCGTCCGTGCATTGAATATTGCTGATATATCTGGTCAGATTCTTCTACTATTCTTGACAATATTCAAAGAAGGGTCTGTAATGTTATCGATACTGACCTGGCATCTCGACTTCAGTCACTTTCCCCACTTCTATGATGTGGCTTCCCTCTGTCTTTTCTATAAATATTTTCATGGCAATTGTTTTGATATGGTTACTTCCTTGGTACCAGGACTTCATGAATTTAAACGATTGGCAAATAGGTCTCACCGTTTTACTGTTGAACGCGCTAGATGCAACCGTGCGTTCTATTATAATAGCTTCTTTTCTCGCACTTCTCGCCCGTGGAACTCCCTTGCGATGTTTTGCTTACATACCTCCTACAATCTTTAAAAAATTACATACAACGCTAATAGCTATTTTCTGTCTTCAAGAAAACCGTTCTTTTATTGTCCTTTTTACTCACTAAAACCATCTCATTTTCTTTAATTCCCAATTATACCTTTGTGTCTTAGTGGCAGTATTACCTTGCTCGGGGGTGGCGGTAATGATTTAAAAAACATAGTAGTGGTTAGGATAAGCCGTTTGTTAATACAAAAAAGTTCGGGAGTCATTTATCCTACGGTTAGCATTACTACATCCCATTTAAATTTATAAAATCTTTTTTTTTTTTTCAAGAAAATATGCTTTTCAAATACACTTTAATTGTTCTTTCCATCATTGGTGGATGCCCCCTCCTAACTCTTTCTATAAGTACTGTGGAAAATTGACGTCTCGATTATGTCACAATTCTCTCTTTGAGATCCATGTGCTATCCATATTAGTTGTTGCTACTTTTGGCGCTCTCAAGTGATGTCGCTTTTGTTATTTGTCAAAGTTCTTGCTTTATGATTATATAGCGCCAGTCAGTAAGATTTGATGAAGTATGGTCCTCTGTAAGACCTACAGGCTTCATTGTTCGAAGACATTTGATCTGAGAAATCGGTTGTATACAGCTGATAGTTCAAACGTTTCTGAGTAATTGGACACCATGTATGTTATCCATATAAGAGACTCGATCTCTCTCGAGAGGCTATTTAAAGAACATAACATGTAATAAGGTTAATGTTTTGCTTTTGTAGCAAGTTGTGGTATTGGGGAAACTATCACAAGTACAGTCTATTTAATTTCCTTATTTCCTAGACTAAATTTGTTTTAAGCGATACCTACCTTGAAGTATTTGAAGTGTTTCGCATTTATTAATCCACATCTCGTATTTTTATGATGGTTGCAGTGCATGTGCTATCATGATTCCAATTCCAGATCATAGTTTCTGTTTGGGAATGGTTCCTAAATTGCTTCCCTGCCTCCTACAATCTTCAAAAATTTAAATGGCTAATCGCTATCTTCTGTCTTTCTGAAACCTAATCTTTTATCGTCCTTTCTCCACACTAAAGTCTTCTCATTCTCTTTCACTCCTAGTAACCTTGTGCGTCTTAGTGGCATTATTAGAGTGAAAAGATTAAAGAAAAAGAAAAGAACGTTTCCAAATGTTTTTCCCTTCACCCTGTTGTGGCCTTGTTAGGACCAGACATGAAGACACAAACAGAGGAAATGAGTTAAACAATTATCTTAACAGAAACAGTAATACAAAACATATACAAACAAGAGTGTTACAGCAAGAATGTTCGGTCCGACTGTCAGAGCTGACTGCTGGAAACTTCCCTTTCCAAAAAGGCAGTACCTGCTCCTATTTATATCTGGTAGAGTACATAATAATAAATTACCATATCACACCCACTTTCTTTGGTTTCTTTCTTTTAGGTCTTTTTTAATTCTAGTTTAATTCTTTAGATTTTGGTCTCATTCGAACTATTAAATAAAGATTACTTACCAATTCCTCTAACAAATATATTTTGTTTAGTTTGGTATAAGGTCATGATATGTGACTCATCTCAGATGATTCCAGAAAAGTCTTGGCACTCAATGTTACACCAGACCATCAGAGAAGCCAGGTGCATAGTTTACCTGAATAGTGACCTTAAAGCCTCCTCGAGAGTGAACCCATAATTGACCCAGCTGCAGACGCGGGAAAGGACTGATTGACAGATATACAAGCTCCTACTCTTCCTTCCTTCATGCTTGTCTTCTTTACATCCTTTCTTCCTGCCTTCCTTCCTTTCTTCCTGCCTTCTTTCCTTTCTTCCTGCCTTCCTTCCTGCCTTCCTTCCTTTTTATCTTATTTTTGCTTTTCTTCCTTTCTTTTCTAGTTCCCTGCCTCATTTCGTTCATTCCTATATTTATATCTGCGCACCTATCTTATTTCCTTCCTGCTTTCATTCGCGTTTTCCTTCCTTCCTTCCTTCCTTCCTTCCTTCCTTCCTTCCTTCCTTCCTTCCTTCGTCTTATTTCCTTTCCTTCCTTCCTGACCGTCTGTCATTTCCTTCCTTACTCCCTTCATGCTTATCTTCCATCATTCCTTCCTTGCTTCCTTCCTGTGTTATTTTTTCTTTCTTTCTTGTCTTCCTTCCTGTTAGCCTGTGTTATTTCCTTCCTTCCTTCCTTCCCGAGCGCCTGACATTTTCTTCCTTATTTCTCATCCATCATTCCTTCCTTACTCACTTCCATCCTATGTTATTTCTTGCCTTCCTTCCTGTCTTATTTCTTTCCTTCCTTCTTACTGTCCTTCGAGTTGGTGTGTGTTATTTCTTTCTTTCCTTTATTCCTCCTTGTCTTACTTCTTTCCATCCTGGGTGCCTATCATTTCCTTCCTTCCTTAGTGCTTATTACCCGACTCTATTGCCTTCCATATTTTCTGATTACCTATCTTCCTACCTCCATCCCTTCGTTCCTTCGTTCCTTCCTTCCTTCCAGTCTTTATTTCCTTCTTGTTTTATTTCGTGCTTTTTTCCATCCTTCCTTCCTTTTTGTCCGCTTGTCTCATTTCGTTTTGTCTGTGTTTTCTTCCGTCCCTCTTTCTTTTCCTTCCTTCCTTCCTTCCTTCCTTCCTTCCTTCCTTCCTTCCTTCCTTCCTTCCTTCCTTCCGTCCGTCTTTCCTTCCTTCTTTCCTTTCTTTCTGTCTGTCTTTCTTTCTTTACTTCCTGTCTTCCTTCTTTCTAATCGTCTGTGTTTTTTTCCGTCTCTCTTTCTTTTTAAGTTTTTAGTTTTTTTCCGTCTCTCTTTCTTTCTTCGTCCGTACAATCCTTCCTTCCTTCCTTCCTTCCTTCCTTCCTTATTTCCTTCATTTCAACCGGTATTATTTCCCTTCCGCTTCCTTTCACGCGTTTTCACTTCCTGCTTTTCTTCTCTCGTTTCTTCCAACCTTCTTTGCTTCCTGTCTTACTTCGTATCGTTTGTTTTCTTCCTTCTCTCTTTTTTCACTTTCTTTCCTTCCTTCCTTCCTTCCTTCCTTCCTTCCTTCCTTCCTTCCTTCCTGCTTGCTTCTTGTCTTATTTCTTCCTGCTTTCCGTCGTGTTTTCTTTCTTTCAATTTTTAAATTCCTTCCTCCTTGCCTTCCTTTCTGCCTGCCATCATACCTGTATTTCTCCTGCTTTTCCTTCTTCCCCGCTTACCGCCGTCCCTCCAGCCTGCCTTCTTACATTCCTCCCCACCTTTCCTTCGTCCATTGCAGACTATGGCAAATAGCAGCAGACACCAGAAGAGCCATAACGACAGACGAGTGCAGGTCGAGGCGAACGCAGCATATATTATGTAAAAATTGATCGCAGTGAGCTAATCGATAAGCGAATCGTTTCCACCACAAACTCTTTTTGGCTTCTGCATGTATGGCAGTATGCATTGAATTACGTAGAGTTACGTATTCAAAGACAGAAGCATAGACGTATAGTTGCCAATCGATTTCATTTCTTTATCGCTATCAGTCACCAGTGAGAACAGTGTCTTCTATCTTTCTCTCTCTCCTTTTCTCTCATAACTATTTCTTTAAGAACTGCTCTCTGTCTTTTTCTCTCCGTCTTTCTAGTTTATTCTCTCCCTTCTCTTTTCTTATGCAATGTCTCTATCGATGAATGCCGTTCCTAGCATGCATCTTTCTTCCTATCTATATTTCTGATTGTCAACGACTTCGATCATTTAGTATTCTGGTTTTCTATATTTTTATTCCCCTATATGCTAAAAAAAAAAAGGGGAAAAAATCTATCATTAAAACTGTTTCCCCATCCACACTCCCTTTACAAGAATAACCGACACTGATTTTTTTTTCTGTCCATAATAGTAGCGGGCCCACACACACACAAACGCATTTATATATGCAAACAAGGAGGTGCTGAAAAATTCTCGCTCCGACACATCTTCCAGAATATGAATAAAATAGATTTTCAATTGAAAGGCCGAGAAATGCATAAATTTCTTTTTTTATTTATATCAACAATTTTCATTCCATGACAAGAAGCTAAGTTATCAGCAATTCCTTGTGTATCATTAGCAATTATATTTGTATATTTGTTACCTATATATAAATAGACGTGTGTTTCTTCGTGGCCAAGCGGTGAGGCGCACCGGGCGAAATGGTGTCCCGAGGGATGCAGGTTCGATTCCTGACAAACACCACAATATATCTCGAACATTTAGGCCGGTATATGAAAAAAAAACTGTGTAATATATAAACGGCGCTGCTACACAATTGCAAATACACACACACACACACACACACACACACACACACACACACATATATATATATATATATATATATATGTTGCATATATAAATGCTGTTTAATATATAAACGGCGCTCCTACACAGTTGCAAATACACACACAGACACACACACACACACACACACACACATATATATATATATATATATGTATATGTATGTTGCATATATAAATACATATTTTACACACACAAATATATATATTCAAATTCCATTCAACACATACATATGCATACACTCACGCGCACACACACGCACATATATATAAATATATATGTGTGTGCGTGTATGTGTGCGTGTGTGTTAGTATCAAGCACTAAGGATGGTAGCAGGATCAGGAGAAAAATAGTGATTTTCCAAAAACTGTTGCTGCTGTTGATATATATATATATATATATATATATATATATATATATATATATATATATATACCCTAAATCTCAAATAATTTAAACATCTACACTTCTGCTGCTATCCAATTCAATGTGCGAAACACGCCACGCCTCTACTTCGATGAAGAAGACGGAAACTATTAAATGAAGTATATGATTTTTCCTTGAGTGTGTGAAATGTGCCTGTATCTTTATCAGTTATAGTAATAGTCTATGCAGTGGATCGAACAAGCTAAAAATGTCACAGGATACAAATTTGCTACCCAAGCATCACACACACACATATGTATAATTCTATTACCTGGTTATATAATTTATTATTTAAAGGTCATTTTATTTAGTGGATACCCATATTTGAGTAGACGTTCAAAGATGGGTATCCATTAAAAATAACGTCCAAGTAATAAAATCTGCCAGATTAATAAATAATAATTCATCGGTTCTTTAGAAATTACACACACGCACACACACACTACCATAGTCAGGATCTCAGAGCATATATATATATATATATATATATATATATATATATATATATATATATATATATATATATATGTGTGTGTGTGTGTGTATGGTGTGTGTTTAGTGAGAGTGTTTATGTCTATGTGAACATGCGTGAGCACACGCGTGATTGTGCTAGTCGACCACCAACCGACACACACACACACACACATATATATATATATATATATATATATTGGTAGCAATGTTTTCGTTTTTCTCATTTTTTGTTGAATATGACAGACAAGGAATATTTTTATATGAAGATTTTTATTCAGTTTTTTATTTTCCTCACAATTTTTATTTTTGAAAAAGGTAAATTATACAGACATTAAAAAAACGTAAATAAAATCAGTTAAGACATATCCCTTGTCAGTCACACTCACCGAAACATGTATACACACACACTCACGCACACACACGCACACACGAAGATATATATATATATATATATATATATATATATATATATATACGACTCATAGAAAGCCTCATGATAAGCGTAATAGACATTCGTTTTCTGTTATATTTCACAATATATGTTTGAACAATGATCTGCTCTCTCTCTCTCTCTATATATATATATATATATATATATATATATATATATATATATATTCCAATTCTATGTGAGTACATTTAAAGAACTGATTGTATGGCTTCAAACAGTTCCTATCTGTTCACCATTGCATTCAGAATCTGGAATCATACACAGGTGATTAAAAATGTTAAAACTTTTATAAGGATGCTTTTATTAGAGCAGATACTATCGTAGAGGTGTTAACTTAAAAAAACTCTTACGTGCGGGTGCGTTTCACGGCTGGGGTGGGGTCTCTGTGCGTAGATAGATTTACCTTATACTCATTCATAGATGAGTACATCTATGCGTATATTTTGGAATGTACAATAAATGTCTAGCCTATATTCATTGGTATGTACTATGTTTAACTTCGTAAGTGGCCAGAATCGTAAATTCATATTTCCCCAGACTTTTTTTTATGTTTGATGGTAATTATAAAGAAACAAGAGAATATCTTTAGAAACAAAGACATAAGTGGAGAACTGCCATTTAATATCTGCCCTCCAGTGAATGCTGAACAATTTCTTCACAGACGAAGAGGAGACTTAAGACAACAGAAATGTAGTTCTACATATAGAAACTGAGAATAACAGGGTCTTAACATGTGAACAAGGTGGAATTTTTAAGGAAAAAGAAGAAGAAAAGTACATTTGATCGTGGCACTTGAGAATTTGACATTCACAGGACATATAGAGAAAGCTTGGGGAATTTGACATTCACGGATCATAATGAAGAAGCATAGAAAGGGGCAACGCGTATATTCGGACGCGTTACATTCTTTAGCGCCACCAGCTCTGACCTTTACAGCTAGTATCCACCATTCAAGATGTAATAGTTATCAAGCTTGTTTCGTTGGGACAATTACAACTTAGTAATGAGTTTGATCATCATGGGCTCCAAACTATTGGCCTTATGCCACACCTAAATTACACTTATTATATCGCTAGGTTTAACTTAGTTTTAAGCTATAAGATGGCGATCCTTTTTCTGTGTATTTAATCAGTAAATATTCCTCCGGAAAATACAATTAAAAACGGCCAATATCAGACAAATTATGACGGAATTTTCTCCTCGTCTTAGAAGGATTATTCATAATTTGGGAAAAAAATCGTTCATTAAAATTAATCGACATAAAATGTTTGTCATTTTTAATATTATTTGTCATAATAATTTTTTGGCGCTTAATTTTCTTCTTTTTGTTTTCTTTACATGTGCAAGTGAGACATAATTTATATATAGTTGGTTACGTATTGTCACAAGACATTCGTTCTCTATGCAGGTGTACTGTTCCTGCTTTCGTATGTGTTTTGTGTGTGTGCGTGTGCTATGGTTACTGACAAAGGCTTCTGCTAACTCAGACCGAACGGATCGATATTCAATTATTTTTACAAGGAATGTAGTCTGCAACTTTGGCTGTGATTAATGCATTTAGTGGCGGTTCTTCGTCTGTCTGTCTATTCCTCGTCTGCCGATCTGAAATCAGTGACTTAGTAGAAACCGGACAGGCATAGTATTAAAGGAACGCGTGTGTAGCCGAGAGTATACAATGAATGAATAGATGCACAGATACGTGACGGCATGTATATACAGATACACAAATATGCCTCTATACGTACATATGTGAATGCTCAGAAGATACAAACGCACGCACATACACTCAAACATATATTGTATATTCGGGTAGTAATACTTCTTTTATGCATGTTTCTTTAAAAAAAATTCCATTTATTTTTTATTTTGACAATATAGGTTTTATTTTTCTAATGATTAAGTTTGTAGTTATAAATTGTCCATCGTGTTTGTTTCCTTGAACAATTTCGGTTAATATTTGAACCATTTTCAAGTGTATGAGAGTAATTTTCCATGATACTGAAGATTTATAATATACACTGAAGACCAAACATTTGGAGCCACTCAATTCAATAATTAGTAAAACGTAAGGGCTTACTGGGAGTGGAAGAGAACGAGAAGAATCTAGTGAGGTGATGGGACAATAAAAAAGTGATTAGGAAGAGAGTATTTAAATTTTTGAAGATTGTAAGCGGCAGGGAAGTAAAAAATCGGAAGGGAGTTTCATAAATGGGAAGCGCCAGAAAAGAAACTGTCAGAATAGAACTTACGGTTGCCTCTAGATTTTTATACAATAAAACGATGAGACCTTGGGTATGACGATAGACTACATCCGGCAGCAAGGCCTCTGATCGGAAGACTGGAGGTTTTGAGTAGCGTGTAATCACCTCTTAATTGCTATTGTTTCAAGGCTCACCCCGAACCGGGGTGGTAGCACCTGTTGGAGTCCCAAATATGGGCAAATAGTGAACCTCCACACAAAAGCAAAACACTATTAAATTATAAAAATACATATCACCAACACATTTTTATATATAAAAAGACTAACAATCCATATTTAAAGCAAACTTATCTGTAGTCAAAGGCATAAATTTGCGTTCAGAATATTTAGGTTTGTGCATATCAAGCCATAGAGGTTGTTATACCGCTAAATAAAATCAACCAATCAACCAACCTCATAGCCAATGTTAAATTCAACGCTGTTGTGGTATCAAGGAGGAGAGCTCATTAGAACAACCGCCATAAAATACTTCAAGAAAAGACAGAAGCATGTCACATGACAGCAGTGGGAAAGTGACTAAAGTCTAGATGCCCGAGCAAGTCCCATGTTTCATATCTTCTTTCTTCTAATTAACTCCTACTAAGGTCGGATACTGAAACTGTTTAAGCTATTAGTACATGGCATCCTATTTCTTTTAGACAGGGGTTACCTTATATTTAAAATTTGTCAGTCCTAAAATTACCATTAGTCAGCAAGGTATAAAAAAAAACGATTTAAAATTTTAAGGAA